CAATAGAGGACGGCTGACTGGGAAGATGGAGGTGGCTGTCGGAAGGTTGCTACCGAATGAGAAAGTCATGTGGCTGGAGACTGCTGGGTGAAGTTCTTTCATACGTTGCTTGGCTTTTTCTCTTTTGAACTTTAGGGACACCCAGGGATACCCAGAATTGAAAAAATTCTCTGCGAGGATTATTTCTGTGGGATACGTACTTTTTTCCCTGCTTTTAATTTGTATTTTCAACTTACAGAAATGTTACCAAAAACAAAAAAAAAACAGAGTTTCCATACATTCCTCATCCTGTTCATGTAGCATTAGACGTTGGCATGATACTGCTCACTGAAGACCTTATTAGATTCTTTCTGGGTTTACTTTTTTACAAAATTGGTATTTTGTTTTTTAGAACAGTTTTAGGTTCACATAAAAATGCAAAGAAAGTACAGAGTTCCTGCATGTCCTCCGCCTCCCCACGGTGGCAGTCCCACTGTGCGCACCCCGCCAGGTGGCTCCTTTGTGTAGCCCTGGGCCAGCACTGGCCTGCTGGCTTTCCCTGTGGGTGCAGCTTCAGTGGGCTTTGACAGGCGTACAGCAGTTGGCGGCCTGGCACAGCCCCATGCAGGGCGGTCTCACCGGCCCGGAACGCTCCGCCTGTGCGTCCCCATCGCTGTGCCCAGCTCCTGGCAGCCTCTTCTCACTCACTGCCATAGTTTTGCCCTTCTCCAGTTTGTCTCTTAGCTGGGGTCACACCGTGTGTACCTCGGCAGACTGGCTTTCATTCAGCAGTTGCAAGTAGGTTTCTGAAGTTCCTTCGAGTCTTCTGGCTTGTGAGCTCGCTTCGACTTGGCAGGGAATAATACTGCATCGTGTGGGTGTAGCACAGTGTACCCGTTTACCTACTGAGGGACATCCTGGTTGCTCCAGGGTTTGATAATAATGAGTGAAGCTACTGTGGACATCTCTGTGCAAGCGCTTGTGTATGCACGGCTTTCAGTGCCGTTCGTAATGCCCGGAGTTCATGGCCGCGTCTTGCGGTGGGAGCACGTTTGGCTTTGTGAGACGCACGGCTTCCTTAGTGGCTGTGTGCGGTTTTGCCTTCCTGCCGGGCATGGGGAGGGTTCTGCCCGAGTCCTTGCTGCGTTTGGTGCTCGTAGGTGTGCAGTGGATTCTCACCCGTCGTCTAATGTGCATTTCCCTGGTGACAGGACGTGCAGCATCTTTTCGCGAGCTTGTTCCCCAGCCCTGTGATTTTCTCGTTGGAGGGTCATTGTGTCTCCTTCTCCAATCTCTTTCTTGTTTATTCAACTCTCAAGTCTTCCTGGATTTTTTTTGTTTCTTAAATGTTTCCTAGGCGTGGGGCTTTTGATCCAAGATCATTTTTCGACCTGCATTGCTTACCTAAGTATGCCGTGTGGTGTGCACAGTGTCGCCGTAAGGTCGTTCTCTTCTGCCAGAGTGAATTTGTGCTGGCGTGGTGCTACTATGACTTCCTGCCTCCACTCTCCTGGATCTGCAGCTCTCCCTCTCCTGTAGCTTTGGGCTTTTGGGCGGTTTGTGGTGTCATGGCGCCCTCTCCTGGCAGCACGGTGAAGTCCCGGCGGCCGTGTTTGATTGCTGTGGTTGCCAGGATGAGACAAGGAGCAGCTCCGGGCTTGCAGGACCCTCACTTCCTCCTTTGTTCTTTCCCTCAGCACACAGCCATCAGGGCTCTTCTGGGGACATTTCTTTTCCCTTGGCACAGCCCTCGGCCTGGTGCTGGGACGCTTTCCTGTAGCCTGTGCTGGCCCTGGCTGTGCCTTGCTCCCCGGCCACCCTGCGGTGGTGTCGGCACCGTGTCCCACTCGAGTTCCAAAGGTCTCTGGCGGGTGTGTGCTGGGAGGGCGAGAGGCCACGCCCTGGGCATGTTGGCTGTTCTTCCTCTTTTGAAATCGTTTAGGACATGGGCACCCCGTTTCCCCTGCGGGTGGCCTGGCCCCGCGCAAGCTGTCCTTTGTTGCTCAGAGTTGGTTCTGAGGGTGGCTAGGCAGTTGCTGCCATGGTTGCCTCTTGAAGATGATGCCATTTCTATAGCCTTTCTGAGAGCTAGTTACAGTTCTTGAAAGGCCTGCACGGGTGAGCTGGGGTCTTGGGTGAGGAGCAGCCGGGCCAGCTGGGCAGACCAGCACCAGGCAGCCTGCTCCAATGCCCTGCTCCTGGCTGCCCCTCCAGCCTGACCACTTGTTGGACAGGGGCTGTTGGTGCAGGCAAGAGCTCTTGACCCGCCTGAGCGCTCCCCATCATCGCTGCTCTGGTAGGCTGCGCCATGGTGCGCTGGGGGCAGAGCGGCTTCCCGCAGGGGGTGGGAGCCTTGGGTGCTGCATGGGCCCCACCAGGGGATCCCCACGAAGGAGATTCTTTGTTTGGTTTTTACATGAGTATTGTGGCGGGTCAGATTTACAGGGCAAGTTCTGCTCCTCTTACCTACTCTCTGTAGGGTGACTGGCTGTTCATGGTACATTGCGCAGAAAGAGGCATCGGGGCTCAGGGGGCATTGCCGTCCATGTCCCCAGTCACCCTTTTAGACATGACTGCCTGTCCTTCCAACCCAGAGGTCGCAGGCCCTGAGCTGCACTCACTGCCATTCAGCTTGCAGCTGGCACCGGCGCTCCGTGCCCGGCTTCTCTTGGCTCAGGTCTGTTTGGGGCCATTGCTGTGCAGTGGGCCATGTGCAAGGCAGGGCAGCATCTGCCCACCCGTGACCCTCAGCACCTCTGCCAAGGCCCCCGCTCCCACGGCCTTTGTAGGCTCTGGATGAGCTGGGGGAGGGGCCACCACTCCCTGGCCCACCACTCCGGGCCAGCACAGCCTTCGGGGGACTGATCCCAGCTTGGCAGCCCTGTGCTGGGGCTGAGGGTTGGGTTTGCTAGCTGTGACCAGGATACCCACAAGCCGTGTGACCAGGTGTGAGGACAGTGACTGCATGTCCTCCTTAGGGAATAGTAGGAAAAAGTCCACAGCTCGCCCTGTGGTCAGCCTGATTGCAGTACCAAGGAGGACACCTGTGAGTGTGCACTTGGGAGTTTTATAACTTGAGAGAAATGCAATTGTTTTTGTAAAAACCCAGAGGCCAGAGAGGCTTTGCGGCTGATAAACACGCAGTGGCCGTCCCCTCCGAGCCTGACACAGGAATGCTGAGCACTGGGCTGCTGTGGCTGGGCAGAGCTTGCCGTGCCCTCAGGTGCTGACCTGGCCCATCAGTGAGTTGGGGGCACCAGTTTTGATATTATTTATCTCGATTTCTGGCTTTTAGCACCCCTTACATTTTGCGCCTGAGGTGAACACCTCAACCTTGGTTTCGGCCATTGATCCTGAAAGTGGAGACATGAAACAGAGCCCGTTCTGCTGGCAGCTCACAGCTGCTTGGCCTGCTGCCCAGGGGTGCCTCCCGGGGCCTGGCCCGTACCCCCCGCTGCCACGCCTGGGTTTTTTTCACGCACTCCTAGTTGGGCAGGTGGGCTTGTCCCTGGCGGCAAGTGTGGAAGCCATATCTGTAACGGAGGCAGGTTTGGAGCCCAGCAGCATGCCGAGGAGGTCCTGCCACCATGGCGCCCGTGGAGTCTGACGTCCCGGACCCCTGGGGGAAGAAGCCGTCCACCTTCCACTGCGCTGTTGTCGGGCCCTCTTCCCTTCCGGCTTTTTTCTTCCAGAAACTGGATAATAGCTGTGTCCAGAGCACCAGGTGCCCCTCGAGGAAGCCCACACTGCTGCCGGCCAGGCTGCGGCCACGGGTGGCTCCCTGGAGATGGAACTGTTTTCTTCGTCTCTTCTGCTTATTTTCACCCCAGCCCCTTAGGGGCTCTGCTGGTGTCTACACAAGGTGCTCTGTGGAGGCCGCCTCGAAGGCGAAAGGAGACCGTGAGAAACCCGGGAGCTCTTCCACTCACGTGGCCGCAGCCGCCAGGGTGCGGTGGCGAAGACGACGGCGCTGGCTCGGGCCCCGGGGAGTGCACCCCTTGCTCTGACTGTCAGCTGCATCGTGAGAGTGCCACCAGTCCACAGCTTTCGCACTTGGCTCCCGGCCAGCGGGTACTGGCCGGGTGAGGCTGCTGTCCACTGGTGCGGGGCTCCTGCAGGACACACTCCCTGCGCTCCCGAGGGCCGTTGGTCACTTCAGCCGCGTTAAGTTCTGACAGTGAACACACAGGAAGAGTGCCGCTGCGTGTGTGCGTGGACACCCACAGGCACTGCCGCTCAGGACACAGATCTGGTCCTCTGCCCAGGGAGACGCGAGCCGCTGCTGGGTCGCGTGTCTGTGCCCAGCAGAGTGCCGGGTGGAGCGGAGACGATGAAACCACTGGACACTGCTGCTTAGTGGTGCCGCTGTGCTCCGAGCGGCCCGCCCCCGGCAACTCCGCCCTCCGAGCCGCTTGTGGGGTGGCTGGTCACTGAGGGGCGGGGGTCTGTGCAGGGGCCCAGCGGGGGCAGGCAGCCCTCGGCTGTGGACCACTGTCGTAACGGCTGAGCAGTCGGCCTCCTCAGCTGACCAGCCGCCCGCCCGGCCCCGGCGTTGAGACCTAGTGTCTCTACCAGCCACGCGGGGATCACAGCCAGGTGTGGCATCGGGCGTGGGCCTCGGTCTCCTCACCTGTGCCCCTGGGCAGCCTCGCTGTGATCCCGGAGGTCAGCTGGCTGCACGCCTCGGAGTTGTTGGCCACTTGCCTGGGCCAGGAGTGCCCACTTTGTCTGCCCTCCTGCCCAGGGCCAGAGCGTGAGCTTTGTGGGGCTTGAAGGGTGTTGGTCTGAGTGTACGCCCTGGAGTAGGGGTCTCCTGCCTCAGCCTCCCTGCTAAGGGCTCAGACCGCTCGCCAGCTCAAGCTGTAGGCCTGTTGGAAGGAGCCTGTGCCCTGCCAGCCTCCTCCAGAATCAGGGTGCTGGGACACATTTGGGGGACACTTGAGCTGCCCCTACCTTCCCTACTTTCTGCAGCCACCTCTGAGCGCCACTAATGCACCTGTCTTCTCCTTTCTCGTCACCAGGGCTCGGGCCCAGGCGCGGCGGTCCCAGGCAGCTCCGGCGTGGGAACCCCCAGACAGTTCACGCGGCAAAGAATCACGCGGGTCAACCTCAGGGACCTCATATTTTGTTTAGAAAATGAGCGCGAGACAAGCCATTCACTGTTGCTCTACAAAGCATTCCTTAAGTAACACAGGAGGAGCACGGTGTTTTTGACGGAGACGCCTGGGGACGTTTTTATATATTTGCAGATTACGCCTTTTTGTAATACGCAAATGGGATATTGTTTCAAAACAGCCACTTCTTTACAATGGAACAGTTTTATATTCCTGTTTCTAAATCAGCTCAGTGTGGAAGAAAACCTGTTTCTGTAGCAGAGAACACAAAGGCCTGTGGATACTCTAAAAGGACAGCTAAACCCGAACTCATCCTTGATTGAGTGGCCTTCTTGCCAAACAAGCCATATATAAAGACTGATGGAATCGTTCAGCAAATAACTAGCTGCCCTCTGTCACCTTGTAGCAGTTTCTACCTTATTTGTGCGTTTTGGTTTAGTTCAGCCTAACTTACTACGTAGGTGTGTGTCTACAGCCGATGACCTCTTTTCTCTTATTTTATTTTTGTAATAGTCAGTTGGCAAAGCAAACTGATTTTTAGACTATTTATCTTCCCCTTTTCCCCTCCCTTCTGCTCCAGATTCTCCAGGAACACACAGTTCACTGTAGCGCCGTCACCTTGGAGTGTAACCGCGTTCTGCGTAGTGGAGGCTGGGGTCCGGCCTGGGTGGGCTCCTCTGAATGTGCTCAGCATCTGTACAAATGCATTTTATTTGCTACAGTTTGTGAAGCTGTAAAGTTAAGAGAAATGAGAACCTTTTCAGCATAAATATATTTTACTTGCACTGTGTTTTTTAGCTAAAAGTGAAAACTTAGATTAAATAAAATCAGAGTTGAGAAGAATCATCAAGAGACTGTTTCTCAGTGTGAATCAAGTGTTGAAAAATGGTTGGTGTATTTTGTCAGTAATTGTACATAATTTTTGGCACATAACATAAAAATGGCTATGTAAACTATAATTATTTTGCTAAGAGACTGTATGCAAGCTGTGGGCCAACTTTACAGATGTCCAGAGCAAAGCCCCTTCTTTGTACCTATTTTTTTATTACAAATATACTAATTGGTTCTTTATATTTTCAGAGGTTATTGTATTAAATTGTCTATTGATAGTACTTTTATGACTGTAAATACTTTGGCTTTCTCCGTGTGAATTCTCACGTTAGACTTTAATTCGCGCGTGTGAACTGAACGCTGATCAGTATTTTTTATCAACACCTGAGAACTGTTACACCTTTTATTTTATCTTTTAGGAAATCCCTGTCTTTCCATTTTTTCATGTAAATTTTGCACAGTTACTTGTTCATATGTAAATATTTTACTTTCAAAAAAATGAAGTTTTTAATTGCTATTGTTTTATAGAGGATTGAAAGAAAATTAACTCCTTTATTAAAAACGAATTTATCTGTACCTGTTGTGCCTGTTTTTCTGTTTGCTGATTTTCAACAGTGCATCCAGAGAGACTCAGCTGTGGTCGAGCTGGTGTTCGTGAGAAGCCAGTGGCAATGCCTTTCTCTGGGGAAGGCTTGTTATTAAAGCCCCGAGGGTCCCAGGGTTACCCCTTCAGCCTGGGGCACGGTGGAGTTCTGCTGAATGTACACTGGACCCTTGTCCTACAGATGAGCTGGGCACACCTAGAGGAGGCAGGAGAAGGCCCAGGGGGCATGGGCACGCAGTGCTGCATCCTGGCTCATGACGAGATGCCCCTGCCCTGGCAGTGCCCTGCGGTGGACAGAGCTGGGGTCTCCGTGGACATTACAGGCTGGCCTTGGTGAGCCGCAGCTCCAGGCAGTGTGCATTGAGGCTGGCCCTCTGTGTGCATATGGGACAGAGTGCCTGCCTGGCACCTTGGTGGCCAAGCACTGTGTAGCTTGAGCTGCAGTTACCGTCTGCGCTGGGCTTGGTGACCTGCAGCGTAGGCAGGCTTGCTTACGCTCACTCTGGAAAGCGCTGCTCCCATTCGCACGCCTGTTGTCCTGGTCCCCTGGGGCCGCTGTCTAAAGGGCCACATACTAGGGCCCTTGAACAACAGAGTCCTGGAGGCTGAGATCTAGGTGCAGGCGGGTGGGCTTCTGAGTCTGAGGGAGGGTTTGCCGCCCCCCCGGGTGCTGAGACTCATCGTGGTGCTCCTGGGCAAGCGGAGGCGGCATTTGTCTCTGCCTCCCCGTCCACCTGACAGTCTCCCTGGCTCAAGTCTCCCCTTGTAAGGACACGGTCATCTGAATTGGGGCCTGTACCGGTGACCTCATTTCAGCTTGGTCGTCTCTGTAAAGACGCACTTTCCGAATGCAGTCACTCTCTGAGGTCCTGGGGTAAAGACTCCGCCGCAGCCTTGGGGAGGAAGTTAGTTTACCGTGTGTCACCCGTGAAGTTGGAGGATGGAGAAACTAGTGACGGGAGGCCCCTGCCCTGGCAGGGACCCGCACTGGACAGAGCTGGGGTCGCTGTCACTGTTACAGGTCGGCCTTGGTGAGTCCTGGCTCCAGACGGGGTGCATCGAGGCCCATGGAGACCCGAGGTCTGAGATCTGGGGCAGGAAGTTGTAGAAGGCGCAGTTTCCTGCCTTCCCACTTGTGAGTATGGCCAGGGTGATGGATTCATTAGGTCATGCTCGTGTGTTCTGGGTATTGCGGTTGATTTCATTTCGGCTTTCCTGTTTTTCCTGCTGGGTCCAGTGAGTGTGCCAGGAGAGCCACAGTGCAGGGGCCAGGTCCCGCGCCCACACGGGCTTCTCTGTGGCAGAGGCGTGGCCACAGGGCAGCGCCACAGGTTAGTTTTTTGAGTTTGCCCTTGACATCACCCACTGTCATTTAATGTCCACACTGCACATCAGGTTCTGTCCTCAGGCCAGTCCGGCTGTTCCTGTGGCTCGGGGAGGAGGCCAGTGTGTCTCCTGTGGGGACAGGCGAGCGTGCCGTGGATGCCTGCCCTCACCGCTTCACTCCCCTGCGCACTGGCTGTTCCAGGGAGGCCAAAGGGCCAGGGAGGAAAAGAGCATCAAGTCTGGAGAGGCAGCGGGCGAGGCAGGAATTCCTAGCGAACGGCTGAGGGCAGGGCGAATCTAGGAGCGCAGCCCTGAAAGTGCAGGTGAGCTCAGTAGGACTGCAGGGTGCAAAGCCAGGAACCGAAGTTACTGCAGAATCTGCGCGCTTGCAACAAACAATTAGAACATTGAAAAAGGTTGCGTTTACAGTGGCATCCAAACAGCAGATACCTGGAATACATTTAGCGAAGGATGTGTATGATCCTTACTAGAAATTAGAGAAACCGAAGAAGACCCGGATGGAGAAACACCGTGCTGTCAGTGTGCTCACAGGAAGGCTCAAGACTGAGAGTGTTCTGCTGCAGAGACTTGGCCAAGTGTTCACACAGACCAACCGGCTGAGTCCAGAAATTCACGTGACCGGGGCTGGGGATTTAGCTCAGCGGCAAAAGCGCCTGCCTGGCATGCGCAAGGTCGTGAGCTCGGTTCCCGGTACCGGAGGAAAAAAAAAAACAAAAAACAAAAAAAAAACCCCCCAAAAAAGAAATTCACGTGACCACCGTGGGAGACCACCTGCATTCCTGTGCCTCGTGGGGCGGGGCTGCAGGGCGCCGCTGGGTGTGTGGATCCATCCGTGACAGAGGGATGGAGCAGAGCTCAGCAGCTGACCTGGATGTCACGGTCATCAGTCAGAGGAAGGTGGCTGCCTGCCGTGGGCCGTAGGGAAACAGGAGCCTGGAGTTTGTCCTCACTACACGTCGCACAGACATGAATCTGAGGTGCATCATAGACCGGAAGCACAAGACACAGTGGTGCAACTTCTAAGGTCAGGTTAGAGGACCGCGTCCCCGGGAAGCTCCTGGCAGGCAGAGAGGCTCAGGTGGGGGCTGGGCTGACAGTGACTGGTGACTCAAAGGCTTCCTAGAGGGTGCATGGGGTGCAGGGCCCCAACAGGGAGGCTGTGGGCTGGGTCGGGCGGCAGGAAAGCCCTCAGGTGGGAGCAGAAATGGGCAGACAAGGTGTCACCTGCTGGGCTTCGCTGGGCTTTCTTGGCGGTGGAAGGCACAGTGAGACCCAGGAGTAGTCTCTGGGTGGCACAAAGGAAACCACCACCGGAACCGAGTCGGGTGCCTTGGGAGCTCTTGGAGCGGTGCTGGCCTGTGGAGGGGTCGGGCGCAGTGAAGCACAGCGGTAGTCGGTTTACTTGGGAGGCTACGGCGGGAGGATTGCAAGTTTGGTCAGCCGTGGGGAACTTAGGGAGACCCTGTCCCAAAAGCTAAGCGTGCCTCTCACAGCCCCTCCGAGACTGACGCACATGGCCAGGCAAAGGCTCACGCGGGAACTCCCGTAGCTGCTGTGCTTGTGATAGCCGAGAGCCAGGACAGAAGCTAGTGCTTACGCGCAGAGCACGCGTGTTCCCAGAGGGGCGGGCGCTGGGGCTTGGTGTGGAGGCCCCGCAGAACAGTGACACGGCGGGGAGGGGCTGACAGTACCCTCAGTGTACATCCGTCTTCAGGAAACAACGCGCCCAGGCTGGTGTGTGCCTGGGGGTGCGGAGGGAGCTCGGTGCTGGGAAGCTCGTTATGGTGACACTGTGTGTAAGACGTCAGGAGTTCTGCGATTGCACATGATAAATACGTGTGGTTTTCGTCAGCTGTACCTCAAAACTGCAAAGGAAAGAAGGAAAGGAAGAGAAACAGGAAGAAAAGAAAAGGAAAGAAGGAAAGAAAGGGAAGGGGAGTAAAGAAGGAAACTTCGGGGAATCTGGCATCATGGGGGCCGAGAGTTGGGGCAGTGTGGAGGGCAGTGCCGGTGGACGGCCCTGGGGCTGGGTGCGATGTGGGGTGAGGGCCCGCCAGGCTTCAGTGTGGGGAGCTAGGGTGGTGTCAGGCACCCCTCTGAGAGAGCGCCAGTGAGCGGCAGGGCCCGTAGGCAGCTGGGTGTCGCTTCGGCCTTCCCTGCCTCTCCCATGGTTCCGAGCCCCTGCAGGCTCTCGTGAAGCGGCCCGAGTGCCAGGGCAGGTTCAGTGGTGAGGTGCTGGGGGCGGGGAAGGTGCAGGGAAAGAGAGGGAAAGCCCTGGGGAAGAAGGAGGTCTGCAGCAAGCCCTCCCAGCAGGTGTGGTGGGTTTGGAGAGGGCAGGTGGGCAGGCAGCTGCTCGTGCTCCTCGGCTGCGGGAGGAGGTGGTCTGTGATG